CGAACGGCGAACAACAATGGCCGCCTGTGTCGTTGTGGGCGGCGCGTGCGGATGTGTCATGGGCTCAGCAGGGCCGCCGTTGCCCTCTTCATCCGATGATACGACTGTAGACGGCACGCGAGAGAAGGGGGGGGGGAAGAAGAGGTGAGTGGGGGCTGGGATAAGTGAAGCGAGGGTGATCACCCAACAGGGGTGCATGTGCATTATGCAATTGAAACAGGACAAACTGTGAAGCATGGAGCAGATGCCATCACCATCATGGCTGCTGGGCTTCCACGGTTTGTCCACTAGCTGGGCTCGTTTTGCTATGTGTGCGTATGTGTGTGTGTGTGTGTGCGTGCGTGCGTGCGTGCGTGCGTGCGTGCGTGCGCGCGCGTGTGTGTCAGCAGAGCGTGTGTTAAAAGGTTCGTTGCGTTCGAAATCAGAATTCGGCAAGCACGAGGCATAGAGAAAGAGGAAACAGAAGCAAAGCCAGGTTAAAACCCATGTCATGCAACAGCAACTCACAGGCTGCGGATGCCTGCTCGGTCTTCTTCGGTTTCACGCTGACCAGGGCTTCCTTCGTTCTTCGACGTCTGAAACCACAGCAAGAAACAATGTATGCAAGCAAACGGGTAAGGTGCAATGCTGAAATGTGCCGACGTCGATTGCGACCCTCTGGTCCGTGAAGCGCCACAGACATCAACCAACACCGCGGTATACGTGTACACGTGCATGCGCAGGACGTGAAGCACGTCTATCACGCTGATGGGGTGTTGTGTGTGCGTGTGTGTTGTGTGCGTGTGTGTTGTGTGCGTGTGTGTGTGTGTGTGTGTGGGTGTCTGGCGCACACTTACGATTCAAGGGCCGTTCGTCGCCGCCCTTGCAGCAACTCTCGCTCCTTCCGCTCCTCCTCTTCTCGTTGCTAAAGTTGACAACAAATCACACACGCAGTCGTGCACATGCATGTTTGTGAGGGCAAGCTGGGTGCTGTTGTTGAAAGACAGGACACCACTGTGATGGGATGCGAGAACACACACACACACACACACACACACACACACACACACACACACACACACACGTCAACAAACAAACACACACACCACACACACACGTAAACAAACACACACACACACACCACACACCACACACTCACTCACACATAAACAAACAAACACACACACACACACAGGAACCCACGCGAGCAATTTTGTCCTTGAGGAGCTTGTCCCAGAATGAATGGTCCGTATCGTTGATCTCGTTCTTCTCCTTCTCCTTCTCTTTCTTTTCCCGCTCGGCCGCCTCCGCCTGTCGCTTCTTCCACACCTGATCGTGACCCACAGCAACGTGGGGGCAAATGTATGCGTGTGAGTGTTGGCTTGAGGGTGCGTGCGAGTGCCAGAGTAGCTGTGCGTGTGCGTGTGTGCGCGTGCGTGTGTGTGTGTGTGTTTGTGCAATTGTGTGGGCGCGGAGACAATTGCAGCGGTGAATGTCATCACGACGTGTGCTGCCACAAACCTGCGCAACCTTGAACGCCTCCAACACCTTCGGCGCACTCTCATCCTGTAGGCGAAATGCACCGCGTGTATAGCAGTGGCGGCGGTGCTGATGGTGAGCGGACGAAAACCGAAACACGGCGACACCTTGCCTCGCATGTGCTTGGGTATTGATTGTCTCATACGTAAGACAAGTACACACACACGCACACAAGTACACACACACACACAAAAGTGCGTTGCATGAAAGCCGATGTGGGAGCAGTGAACGTACGCCCGTGTCGGTTGTGGCCTCTGCCTCTCGTCCTTCTCGATTCAACAGCTGGTCCACAAGCGCCTCGTCCACTTGAAGATCGGTCGGCTCTCCTTCCTCCTCCTCTTCGTCCTGGCAGACAACGCGCGCATATGTGTATGCGAGTGCACATGTGATTGTGTGTGTGAGTGTGAGTGTGCATGTGATTGTGTGTGTGAGTGCGTATGTGAGTGTGCATACGTTTGCGATCTGATATGCGTGCATAGCACGTGTGCTCAGGTACAAGTCTGACAAGAAGCAGACGGAGACATGGTCATGAAACGGACACACTGTGCTCCCCGACAAGTCCAAGCATAACAAGAGGAACGCCAATGGTGACGACGACACCAGCAACGACACAGCACGTGCAAGTCATGCTCAGTTGCCCACACGAGAACTGTGTCGCCAACCTGAAAGATGCGGGCTGCGCCGTGACGAAGCAGCTGCTCCAAGTCCTTTGCATCCATCGCCTTGTGCTTCTGCTCAACCACAGCCTGTCGGATTGTGGTGCAGCGCAAACATGTCGAGACACGTGAGCAGTCATGGACACATTCAATGCATCAGCACTCCGACCAAGAGCACCACAACTGCGCACGTGTGCTCTTGCGAGGAGGCGACGGCTGCCGCACATGCACATATCACACACGCACACACACACACACGCACACACACATCACACACACACACAAACATGTGAATGCTGGTGTTAATGTTTAGTGCCCTGCACCTC